TTTTAATCCTATTTAATCCTACTCACCTGTTCCTTCTCTTAGAAACCATTGTATAGGCTCATGTTCACATTTCCTCTTCCCTCTGTTTGGTGCTACCCTATGTTTGTTCCTACTGAGAACTATGAGTAATAAATTTTCTTCTCAATGGCAGCTCTCATCTTCTGATCTACTGGCTCCTCTGTCTGTTTAATAATTATAAAAACTTACATTTAAAAACACCCATTTGAGGTGCCCACCAAAAGTGCTCCTTCCCACATTTCTAAAATACCTGTGAAAGTGTCATCAAATCAAGGATCTCTGAAAGTCTGTTAAGTACGAGGGTCTATCCCAGATGGGAGAGTGAGAACTGACTCTCCTCTCTCCCCGCACCATAAACACACACACCAAACTCCACCCAAATGCTTTCTYTCCATTGTCTTCTTTCTTTCTTCCTTACAAAGCGGTTGCACAGGCCTGACCCTGAAGTTTCTCAATCCCMTATAGATGGGGCACCATCTAATTCCCCAGGCTGTAGGACTCAGTGTCAATGGCAGGTCTCCTTGCTCTGTTCGAGCTCATGAGCCAACAGCTGGTCCTCTCTGAGAGTTTTCGTTTCATAAACTCTTCTTTATGTGCTTCCAATTAAATCTGATTCAGCTCTATCTGTCTAATCTCATTGACTTCTCCTTTTATCACTGTCAGGTTTTTTTTTTTTTTTTTCTGGTGGGGGGATGATGCTAATTAGTTTCCTGGTCTCCACAAGCCAGCAGGCAGTTCCCCTTGAGGAGAAAAGCTCAGTATGCACTGAGGGCCTATGTACATATTAATGTGCCCGATTACATTTGGTAATGTGAGCAGGGGGCYTGTGCGTCTGGAGTTGCACATAAAACAAATTTGGATTTATAAGCAAAAGCAAAAGGCAGGCAAGAGCTGAGGAACCTCCACACTCACATGGATTTGGCACCTCCTTGCTTCAGTTAGATTAATGGATTAATTGAGAGGAGTTTAAAAGTCCGGATATATTAGTACTGAGATGGCGTAATTAAGCAAGTCAACCTTTAATATTTAATTTATCTTTAATTTCTTTTTATCTAACTCTGAAATGCCTCTTATATTTTKCCCCTCCTTTCTGTCCTTGAAGCCATCACCCTAGTTCAGGCCTCTTTGCCCTTGCTCTAGACCAGTTTTTACCTTTACAACTCCTTCCCATATCTCTAGGTCCCACCCATTGTCCACAGTCTACCCTCCATGTGGACATGAAGTCACAGTTTTTAAATATTGACTGTGTGGATCCAACCCTCCCCTGTCTTGATAAACTTCCCTAACTCCAAAATGCCTACAGAATAAAGGTTTGTGTGCTTTGTGGCTCCTAGTCTATTCTTACCTCTCCTGGTGTTCATTCATGCTTCTCTTTCTGTTCCAGTCACACTGATGCGGGGAGCAATGTGTCTGGTATCACCACACAGGATGACCAAAGAAAACAAGACACTCCATTAAATTCAAATTTCAGAAAAACTACAAATAATTTTGGGGACATACTTATAGTTAGATGTTATTTGATGTTTGTCTGAAATTCAAACTCAATCTGGTATCCTGTATTTAATAAATCTAGCAATATTTCCCTAATCCTCTCTGCCTCCTCCTCTTCTTCTTCATCTTCTTCTTTTTTTTTTTTATTGTTGTTTGGTACCATGAATCAAACTCAGGGGCACTTGACCACTGAGCCACATCCCCAGCCTATTTTATATTTTATTTGGAGACAGGGTCTCACTGAGTTGCTTAGTGCCTCTCTTTGGCTGAGTCTGGTTTTGAACTCGAGTTCCCCCTGCCTCAGCTTCCCAAGCTACTGGGATTACAGGTGTGCGTCACCACACTGCCTCTCTGCCTCTTCTTTCTCAAGTCTTGTCCTCCCCTCAAAGAGCCTGCTTCAATGGAAGCAGGCTAGTGTTGATGGAAACTCTGCAATTGTAATACTTGTCACCTGGGTTTCTTCTCAATAGCTTTGCTTGATCATCTTCACTAGAATGAAGGTTATAGGAAGGTAAGATCTGTGCCTGATTCATTAGCTTGACCCTTATACCACCAGAGAAAGATTAACTGATTTTGTATAATAGCTGACATCTCTCTGGAACAGAAAGATGCAAACTGGAGAACAGCAAGACAAGGCGTCAGATGTTCCAAATTCAGGTGACCTCCTGAGGTTCATTGCCATGGTACGGCAGTCTTAGGAGCCCTGTTCATTCTCGGGCTGGAACTGTGGGTGTTGGGAGAAAAACCAGCTCCTCTCTTTCTGCCATTACTCAGAGTACTCATTATCTACTGTCAGCAAACATCCCCCACCATGAGTGGGGCTGGAGAGTGGTGGGATTTCCCAGAACTCAAATGAGTAAATGAGTTCATGATCAATAAAAAACAGCATTTTTGTTCCATTAAAGGAGAGTCATGACTCCTGWAATTGTTGTACTTGTGCTTGTTTATGTACACTTATGTTCGTGTGTGTACATATGAATGTGCATTTGTGTGCCCACATGTATGGTGACCATCTCTTTCAGTAATGGCCCAAAGATTGAGAAACATAAAATGTCTTTGCATAACTTCCACTTAAAGTAGAGCAGAGCTGAGGTCTTGTTTTTGTGGCAAAACAAACGTGAAGATATTCGATTGCTTCCTTTGGAAAGGCAAATTGCACCTAGTTGCCCCTCTAGAATCTTCATAGAGGTACAAAGCAAAGCAGTTGCAAGAGGTACTGTTCTTTTCCTGTTGATTCTAAAAACTTTCATTGTAATATTTCAGATGGATCTATGCTTATTATGAAATGTTTTAAAAGTACTTGCATTTATGAATAAGCAGAGAGAAAAAAATTCAATTATCTCCAATCTCACTGAACAGAGCTAATAATGTCTTTTCTAGTCTTTTTCAGATACTTTTCTGCACATAGCTGGGTTCATATTGTATATATATTTCTCTCTTTTTAAAAAGATAGTATCATCAGAAGCATTTATACACATCTTTAAAAATATTGTTAAAGGCTGTTCAATATGWCATCAAATGAAAGAAATAATTTCGTGCACCTTCCTCTTTGCAAGTTTAAATAATTTTTGCCTTTTTCCCATTATAAATGAAACTACAGTTATCTTGTTTGCACTCAGATGTAGGTACCCATTTTTTTTATCATTTAGTCTTCTAGATTCAGAGGATTTTGATTGCTAACTCAATTCCAAAGTGTTTGWGTCTTATTATGGATTTGCTATTGTGAAGGTGATGCTCACCCACACTGTCCATGACAGTGACTGCACACTCACCTAGGATACCCCTTAGCAGGAAAGGGGCYGCTTCATGAACATTTGCACAAAAATTTTCCTGATGTACTTGTTTGTTTATTTATTATCTCCTTTTACTTCCACATGTGAATTGTTCACATGTGTGTGAACAAGGGCTTATTCTGCAATTGGCAGTTAAAGCAACTGGGGTCCTAGGGCTGGGGTGAATCACTTTGCTTGTTGTAGGCAAGGGCAACTTGTTTGAAGGAACTTGTCAATATCTGCTTGCCTTGCACCTGTGTGCTCAGATAGGCATGAAAAGGGAGACCAGCCACTGTGTGGCTTCTAAGAGCACCAACTCTGTGTCTTTGGACAAGCCTTGCTGTCCCTTCCKTTCTCATAGGAAGACAGAAGTGGTAATGTTATATCTGTGGTTGCAGCACCATGTAAATTAATCCAGATRAAGACTCTGGACAGCACTTAAAGCAGAGAGAGCCAGAGGAATGCTATATGATGTGAACTACTTACCCAGATGGACTCATCCTCTTTCTACSTAGGGATGATGCTTAGTTTGTTAGGCTCTTTGAGAACCCTGCCTGCAATAGTTTGCTCAGTCAGCTGTARCAAAATACCTCAGACTGGGTACCTTAAATAACAACCATTTATCATCTCATAGCTCTGGAGACTGGAAGACAAATGTGTTAGCAGGGTTGATTTCTCTCTCCTTGGCTTGTAGATGGCTGTCTTCTTCCTGTGTCCTCCATCTCCAATTTCCTCTTCTCATAAAGCACCAGTCTCGTTGGATTAGGACTCACCTTTTGCCTTCATTACTTCTTTAAAGATCATCTTTCCAAATGCAGTCACATTCTGAACTCCTGAAGGTTAGCGCTTCAATGGTGGATTTTGGGGGACACAAGTCAGCCCACAGTGAATGGTCATACTAGACCCAATAACAAYACTACACACTCCCTTCCTTTTCCAAAGATGATAGGTCCATTGTTCCCCTTGGAGTATATGACCATCTTTTTGAATAATCTGATTAGACTATGTAAACACTTRCATATTTCTCTTTTGCTTGGTGGTCAAAGTGCAAAACTAGTCTTCRCATAAACCTTTTGTATTCCAATCACTTGTAGAATTTAGGCCTTTAGGTTAGTTGCACTCATCACACTTAAGCTAGAATAGATGCATTAAAGAAAATTGAAAAGTGTTAATAATTAAATCCCCTTTCATTTCAACTTCTAATGAGGGCAAAGTGGCTGTTAAATGGACTGAAATGAATTYGAAGAATACGTTTGAAGAATGTTGATACATTTCATATGGAAATGTTAGCATTATGAATTRTTCCTCTTTGTGGGAGTTTTAATTGATTTATTCTTTCAGTTACTTACTTTATGCTCCTCTTCTTATCCAGGAATCCATGCAAACATCAAAGATCGGCATGAGATGAGCAATAAGGAAATAAAGTAGCAATGTGGGGCAGGGATGAGACTTTACTCTGGGGAAGAATCAACAATTATTCAAAAAAGGTTTATTGAGCACTTCTCAAAGTCTCTTAGTGGGACTGGATGTGAGTGGGTCCTAGCARATGGCCCTGACTTGGACCTTAGGAGATTTAGGGCTTCCTTCAAAGCTRATACACTGATTCAGGATATCACTGRTTTATGCRTGGGATGCATATTGAAAATATGMAAACRTATTCTATTATGGAGTCTTCATTTACATAGAAAATAATTATATTCATGTTAATTCAATTTTTAGGAACTTTTGGTTTAAGGAAACCATGGTATTTCCCCTTCACTGCATCATATTGGAAGAGTATATGTGGCTTGGTAGARAAACAGCGACGCTCTCTAAGTTCTAGTTTGTTCTTCTTCAATGGGAACTTTGATAATCAAGGTATGTAAGGAGTAGCAACATTAGTTGCATTTGTATTCTGGTCAGTTTTGATTTTTGATTTTCACTTTGGGGTGAGCCTTTAGAACTTAGAACCGATTCTTAGAAACTGACTTTCAGACTGTCTTGGGTTCAGAAACAGCTGCAGGACTAAAGTGCAAGGCACTGTCCCCTGGTCATATCTTGTTTGCGTGAGCCCAGGAACCCCAGAATATTCACATTACTTATTATTCCGAGCACTCCCACTCTCTGTATTCTATGTATCATTTATATTTGTGCATCTCTAATAATTTGGTAAAACTGAAGCATYTGTCCAAAAATGAAGGACATTGAAAAAAAAATAAAAGCAAAGCAAAGCAGTTGCCAGGTGTGGTACACTTAAACATGTCAAAGTGATTTCACACATGCCAGCTTGTTCCATGTTTCTGTGAGAGAATACCACTGCCACTTACCAATGGATACTGCTCTCAGGATAAACTGCTCTAAGGAGATGAGGGCAGGACTGTTCTCATATCGCTGTATTCTAGTCACAGCCCATTCCTGTGGCCAGACACATGGATACTTCTA